GAGGGGAAAGAAGGGAAGCAGAGACGCCAGGAGGGAGACCAGTATCTTGACTAGGTGAGAAAAGCAAACATTTTCTGGAAAGGCTGAGAGAGTAAATATTTTAGGTTTTATGAGCCACATATGCTCTCTGTCACACACTTGTCTCCTCTTCCTCTCCTTTCCTGTTCCTCACCCTCTTTCTTTTTTAACAACCCTCTAAAAGATGTGAAAACTATACTTAGCCTTTGGGCTATACGAAACAGGAGGTTGTTTGCTGGCTCTGGCCTCCTTCCTGGGCAGCAGTTTGCTGACCCCTAGCTTAGAGACGAGAAACTGGTTGGCATATATTTAGGACACAGGATTTGCTGATGAACTGGCTCTGTGTAGAGAGGCGGTAAGAGAAAGAGGAAACAAGGATGGTCTCAGTGAAGAAGTAGAGGGGGAAGAAGCAGATTTGGGAGCAGGGGTAGAGGGGAAATCAAGAGTTAAGGATGAGTTGCTTATTAGTCAGCCAAGTAGATATGTTAAGTAGGGAGCCTGATACAGACTCTGGAGTTTAGGGGAGAGGTCAGGCCTAGAGATCCACAGTTGGGAGTTAACAGCTAATGGATGCATTTTAAGTCATGGGGCTGGATGAGATCACCCAGATAGTCTAAGAACAGGGTCTGGGGGACTTTGAAACTTAGAGGACTCACTCTCCAGGTCAAACATGACAAATATAGCCAGGCTGCTTTCCATAAGGGTCTTTTGTATCTTCACAGAACCCATCTTGTCTTAGCTATTTAAATACACACTGTGAGTGGGACTGTACACGTGAATGGGCAGAGACACTGAAGTTAGGCATCTGACTGCTTTGGCTTTGGAACTGGGGAGCCTCAAGCCACACTGGAGGATCAGTTGGGTTAAACAAGGCGTTGTAAGGGCCAAAGCACTTCCAAGGACTCCTAACCACAGAATCTCCCAGCAAACTTGTTACAAATGCAGATTTTAAAATAAGAGCTTCTGATTCACTGTCTGTGAGGTGTGTTTTAAACATGCTGCCTCTTATACAAACAAAAGGTTGAGTAACTTGTGGCTGAGGGATAGATTGGGTGAAGGGTGTGACCTTGTAAAGTCTCTTGGCATCAAGAGGCTCTGGGGACATCATGAATCTGAGATGGGTCTGGCTGAGGTTGTTTCAGGAGGATGGGATGGGATTTTTGGCAAGGGAGAATAATTTGCTGCAGTTGTGGATCACTTCCCACTTGCTTTCCAATTCAGAATGGGGTCTTTCTACCCCACCCCCAAGTCAAATGGTGCTTTTATTTTTTTTAAATTGTGCTTTTTTAAGGCAAATGCAGTTAAAAGTGTGGGTTCCTAAGACTACCTACTCTAGAGGGAAGAAATCCCCCCCTCCCCACCATGTCTTTAAAATGAGAACAAGAATACATTTTCAAATAAAAAAAAATTATGGATGCTGCTGGTGAACTGATATGGTATCAACTAAATAAATCTGTGTGAAAACAGCTAAGAATGGAAAGGATTTGCTCTTAGGCCTTGTGCTGGACCTATGGAATCAATTTTCACTGAACCTTTATTGTGCTAAATGCCAGGCACTACTTCAGATTCAGAAGTTACTAAAGAGACAAAATCCCTGCCCCTCCCAAAAGAGATAATTTAATTTGGGAGACAGAAAAGTAGATATGACAAGTAAAAGTGTATGCTATATTAGATAATGGTCAGTGCTAAGGGGAAAAATAGAAAGAACGAAAGAGGGACAGAAAAGAGTTGAGGACCACAAAAAGCAAGAATATAGGACAAGACAAGATGTGAGAACTGTGACTTTGGAAAAATAACTCTGAATCTCAGTTTCTTCATCTTTAAAATAATAATAATAGCACCATCCTGAAGAAGGTCCTGAGACTGACTTTGTCACTTTGAAACTATGGGATTCAGAATACCAAAGTTCTTTGATCTCTCTGAAGCTATGAATTTCTTCATTTATACAATGACAACCTGCCCACCCTATATCACATGAATTTTTAAGTGGGATAATTAATGTATACACAAAATATTTAAAGTCTATTGAGCTACCATGTAAATACCATGAAAATGTAAAGGAAAAAACCAGTCATTTCATGGAATGCGTATCTCTTGCTGATGGTCAGCAGAGACTCAGGACTGAACAGTGAGTTAGATAACTGTACTGATTACCTGCCTTGGCAGGGAAAAGGCCAATGCAAATGATTAGGGCTGTAAGGAGTAAATCAGCAATCTTATCTTAGATCGGGGATAAAATAATCAAATCAAGTGTTCCTAAGAGAACACCTCATAAAATAATTATGACATTTGTCAAATTTTTAGTGTTTTACAACTCCCTTATGTTTGTTCTTGTTTTGTTTGTGCGACTTCAGTTCCAGCAAAATGGACTGGTGAACTGAAAGGAGTTATAAATGCAAGGCAATCATTTACATTACTAAGATAGTCCATCTTCTGGGTATTTCTGTAGATACTCAATAAACATTAATCAAACTGGATAATGAGCACAAACATTGACTGTTTTGTATTCCTTTTTCATCATCTTTTCTTCGGTACTGAATACTTGCTCCATCAATAAACACACTGGAATACATGCATGCTATAGTGTCTAACATATACTAACTACTCAATAATCTGTTAAATGAAAGCATGAATGATTATTGTGTAAATCTGCTTACTACAGACTAATTAATCTGATCCTTAAAGTGTCTGTGCAGTCACCATATTTCTACAAGAGGCTGATTTAAAAATCTACAAAGAGGGGCCCTCCCTGGTGGCGCAGCGGGTTAAAGCACAGCACTAAGAAGCTAAAGCCACTTCCGCATGAGTTCCATCCCTGCCTGCCCCGAGGTGACCACATGGCGTGGCAGACCTCTCCTGACCTGCCTCCTGCTCCCCTCAGCAGTGTACTTCGTGGATCTGACTGTTCTGCTCCCCACTCTGTCTCTGGTGAAGCCTCTCGCCACCCATGAGCCTCTGGCCTGTACTCCAGTTCTGTATGCACAAATAAATAAATCTTAAAAAAAAAAAAAAATCTACAAAGAGGGGCCTCCCTTGATGGCCTAGTGTCTAAGTCTCAGCACAACCACCTCAATAACCCTCTGTGATGAAGCAGCCTGAGTTCTATCCCCTGCCAGGGAGCTAACAACCCACATGGGTCTCAGCTACTGCTCAGGTCTGCAGTATATTTCAGTGGATCTGCCTGTTCTGCTCCCCACTCTGTCTCTGGTGAATCCTCTCAACCTCCACCCCCTCCCAATCTCGACCTACAAAGTAAATATTTTACAATAAAGGAATAATTTTTTAAAAATCTAAAAAGAACCCATACAACTCAACAAAAAGAAAACAACCCAATCAAAAAATGGGCAGCAGAGCTAAGAAGGCACTTCCCCAAAGAAGACAGAAAACAGGCACAATGAAAACTGTTCATCATCAGTTATCAGGGAAATGCAAAGTCAAAACAACAATGAGATCTCAACTCACAATAATTAGAAGGGCCCGCATGGAAAAGCCCAGAAACAAGTGCTAGTGAGAATGTGGAGGAAAGGGAACCTTCCTACACTGTTAGAGGGAATGCAGTCTGATCCAGCACAAATGGAAAACAGGTGAACGTCTCAAAACACTAAAAAAAGGACCTGCCAGAGATTAGTAATCCCATTCCTGGACATCTAGCTGGAAAATTAAACAATACTAATTCAAAAGAAAACTTGCACTCCCGTGTTTATGCCAGCACTACTAATCAAACTACAGAAACAACCTATGCACCAAAACAGATGCGTGGATAGAGATGATGTGGTATGTACACAATGGAATGTTACTCAGCAATCAAAATAAGATAAACTCACGCCATTTGCAGTAAACAGATGTAGCTGGAAGGGATTGTTCTCAGTGAAATAAGTCAGAAAGAGAACCATAAATACCAGATTGTGTCCCTTCTATGTGGAACACAGAGAAAGCAAACGAAGGGTCAAATAAAGACAAGCTTAAAAACTAATCCCTGAAGCTGATTATAAGTATCCCGAAGAGAAGGTGGGAGAGGAATGAAAACAATGAGGTAAGGGAGCACAAAGAGGTTAGGGGCCCACGGCGGTGGACCAGGGTGACTTGATGTGGGGGTGTGCGGGGTGGGGATCCTGGACTTCCAGAATAGCAACAATAATGTAAGCCAGTGTTATTACCTCAGTTCAAAACATTTTTTAAAAAATGTTGGTCCTTAATGTGCTCAAAACACACAAATATTTTCTTTCACTAAAATGGCTGTCTGGTAAACCCGTATGATGTCCATCTCCCAGACTGGACTAAAACACTGTTTTATCCTATTTAAATACAAAATCCAAATATAGTTTGACTACCAAGCACAGTAGACGCTCAAGGTTCACTCACTAAAGACGCCGCACACCCGAAAGCAAAGTTCCTGCAGCCTAAGACCCTGCTCAGGAGCCTGAACTGAACGTTTGCCCAGATCAGATTCACCGGGTGACCGCTACCCCTTCTCTTAGGTGCCGGCCCCCGCCGGCCGGACAGTCAAAACACAGTCGCTCCGCTAGGCCGCTCGGTTTTTCCCAGCCACTGCTCCGTCCCGGTGGTCACCTACAAGGGAAGGTGCCCAGGGCCCAAGCCTTCGTCACGTCCCCGCCCCGCGGTGGGCGGGCCCCAGAAAGGAACTTGTGGCTGTTTCCTATTGGGGCCAGGTTGCTATGGTATCACTGACTTCAAAATTGCCCGGCACTGCTTCCGGAAGTTAAACAGAAACTACTTCCAGAGCTGCCCATACTTGCCATGGCCGACCGAGCGCTCACTAATCTCTACAAAAAGCGAAACTTTTGCAGTAAAACCCTAGGATAGATTACCTGCCACTTTACTTTGTAGGTACAACGTGGTACCGTAGACTTTCTTCCCTTTCAAGAGATTTACGATCTAGTCTTCCTCTATCTGCCAGTTACCAAGATGGCGCCGACAGGATTGGTCGGTCACAGGTGAGTCACGTGGGCCCTCCCGGTTCCGGCGCGGTGGAGGCCCGGGGTGGTGAACAGTCTCCGGCACCATGTTTGGTTTGTCTGGCCCTCTAGCCCAGCGTGGCCCTTGCCCGTTAGCGTTGCTGCTTTTACTCCTCGGCCCCAGCTCGGTCCTCGCCATCTCCTTCCATCTGCCCGTTAACTCCCGCAAGTGCCTCCGCGAGGAGATCCACAAGGACCTGCTGGTGACGGGCTCGTACGAGATCACCGACCAGTCTGGGGGCGCTGGCGGCCTGCGCACCCACCTCAAGGTGCGGCCCTGGGTGGTGCGGGGCGAGGAGGGAAAGCCGCAGGCGTAGGCCGTGAGGCCGAGGATCGAGGGGAGGGATGGTGGATCTGGCGGGCGGAGGCTTGGAAGGAGCCTTCGCCTCCCGCGACTTCGAAGAGCTCGCCGTCGAGTCCGCCCTTGCATGTTGTCCGTCGGCGTTTTCGGGGCGGGGCTGAGTACCCGTGCTGGGGATCCCAGAAAAGGACCGCGAGGCTTTGGTGGACAGGATGACTCCTGAGCCGTTGCGGCCCCACCTTTGGGTTGCTGTCACTGCTCGAGACCTGTTTAGGTCGTAGGTACTTTGAACTTGGCTCTTCAAAAAAGTCTTTTAATGATGGGTGTTTTCAGGGTTTGTCGTCTTAAGGCACCGGCAGGATAATCTTGGAGGCACTGAAGCTTACTGTGACTAATAAAACTTATTATTTATTGAGTGTTAGCTGTGTGTACCTGACGTACGGCACCGTTTAGTTCGTACACCACCCTATACAGCAGGTCTGGGGAATCTGAGGCTCAGAGTAGTAGGATAAACTGATAAGCGTCTGAGAGGGAACTGAGTCTTAGTTAGGAGTGAAGTAAGGTGAAGGAAAAGTACTGCAATCTTATGCTCTACTTTTTATTTGAAATTCCTGTGATCGATTGAAGTCGTCTGTTGGGCTGGTCTTGGTTACTCACTCTTGACTTTTCTTTCTGATACCACCAGTCTGGAAATGTTACATAAACTTCACCGATATTCTTGGATCGTGGCAACTGTTAACACAGTGCCACGGTTTGCGGTTCAGGTGACCAAGTCAGATCTTTGAAACACCAATATAATTAGTCAAGGTTTGATTGTATTTTAATTAATCTTATTCATATAAACACTCTTGTTACAAAAATGGCCTTTTCATAGACTTCTGTAATAAGCCCATAGGTTATGTGTAAGGTATAGAAACCCAAGAGTGTTAACAGATGCAGTTTATATGTACTTTATTCGGGCGATATAAACTATATATTTGTAGGGCTATTGCTCAGTGGCCTAACTTTTTATTCTCTTCAGGTATCAAACTTGTCTGGCCACGAAAGCTGTGATGGTCTAATTTCAGAGGCTTAGATAGGGCTGTTAGAGGGTCTTGTGTCTTCAAAGGGTGTGCAGAATCAGAATTTGAGCAATTAAAGAGACTTTACTGTCATCTCCATTTCCCAGAATGCTATGTAATGCTCTTCCTCACCTATACTTAAAGTTTCATTGATTTTCTTATCCCCCACTTTGCATTTTACATATGAGCCACCCTGAACAGAACCTTAAACTGGCTTACTTTCACCTTATAAATATCTACTTGTAACTACTTAACATTTATTTCTTGTCATCTTATTAGACTGTTAGTAACCCAGGCGTGGGAATTATTTTCGTGTTCATATTTCCCAGAATGTCTAGCATACTGTCTTGCATCTGTTTCATACTAAATACAGAAACCTTAGCTTGCCATAACCTTCTGGGAATTAAATCTGTACCTAAGGCTGCTGATAGGACCTCAACAGCAAGAACCTGCCCAACTACATACAGCGTTTTGCTACCTCTGTTCCCTTGTCACTAACCAGCATAATGGGACTTCTTACTCCTGGGGTCTTACACCCAAAATATCATAAATGAATAAGCGGGGCTAGGTTTAAGAAAAACAGCAGTGGTGATAAGTGGTGGATAATCCCAAGTGGAGAAAAGTGTTCCGACTGAGTAACCAGTACTCAGCTCTTAATTAGATTTGTCATATGGTCGTACTGCGGCATCTGATTTTCTTTAAAGATATATTTGTGCATACAAGAACTGTGGTAGAGGCCATAGATGCAGGGACTGTGAGAGGATTCACCAGAGACATGGTGAGGAACACAGGCAAATAAGATGAAATACACTAGTGAGGGGAGCAGCGGGCGATACATGAGAGGTCTGCCATGCCACGTGGATCACCTCCAGGGCCAGGGATCAAATTTGCACTGAAGTAGCTGAGGCTAGCTTGCAGTGCTGTGTCTTAACCTGTTGTGCCACCAGGGAGGGCCCCACATCTGATTTTTTTTAATATTTGTGGCTCTGGCCTCCAATCTCTTTTTTCTTTTTTCTTTTTTTTTTGAAATTTATTTTATGCATACAGAACTGGGGTACAGGCCAGAGGTGCAGGGGCAGTAAGAGGATTCACCAAAGATGGTGGGGAGCAGAACAGGCAGATCAGCAAAGTACATTGCAGAGGGGTGCAGGGGGTGGGTCAGGAGAGGTCCTCTACGCCATGTAGTTCACCTCAGGGCGGGGGTTGAACTCACACTGAAGCAGCTATGGCTGGCTTACAGTGCTGCGCTTTAACCCGTTGGGCCAACAGGGAGGGCCCCCTCCTCTGATTTTTTAAGTGAATTCATAAATCCCAATTTTGATGTGAAAGTTCCTGGTTTCTAAATGTAACTAATTCAAATTGGTTTTGACATTTGTTTGTGTTCAGTTTTATAGAGAATAGTACAGTGAGTCTTTTGTCTGTGTATTACCTAGATTCAAGGGTATCTGGATCTTGCCATCCTTGTTTCTTCTTGGCTGTGGCAAGGGAACTCGGCCTCTAGCCCCTCTTCCTCCAGAGGCCTGGGCAAGCTCCAGTCCCAACTGTCCTAGCGTAACTTACAGCCGCCATCTTTAGACACCTCTTGAGAAGTCATCATTAACAATACAAGAGATAGTTTCTCATTCTCAACACTTAGGAAATTCCAAGACTTTTAGGGGCTGTGAACTGGAACCAAGGATGAGGACCAGATATATGTAAGAAATAGACTTTGTTCATGAAGGTGTGAGCAGGGCTGTGCTTTCAGAGGCCAGGGGAGATTCTGTTTCCTCCCCTTTTCCGCCTCTGAGAGACAGCTGTATTATTTGACTGGTGACCCCCTTGTTTCCATCTTCAAAGTCAGTAGTATATTATCTTTAAATCTTTCTCTTTTGTGGAACAAAGACTGATCTCTCGTATGTCCAGCCCCTGATCTGGAAGCAGCTGTTGCTCCAAGGAGTTCTGACTCCTTTTTGTGGGAATGCTGTTTTAGAGACCACAGTCTGGGTGTCCTTTAAAATCAGATGTACACTGCATACACATAACTATGTATCTACAATACACACTTGTGTGCTTGACCAACCCCTCCAACCCCTTTAGTAGGGTTTGTAACTATTTTTCATGGTGTCTGTTCACTTCACTTAGTTCTGCTTTCTCTCAAATTCTGACCATTCCTGGCCCAGACTATGCCTCAAGGATTTTATGTATCATTTCAGCATATGCAGTGCAACTCCTGAGAGCAGAATCTGATGGGCTCAGCTCCTTTTTATATCCTAGGCCACATTCTCTGTGTTTGAACAACCTACTGATTGTCTTCTCTTTGGTCCCATGTTCACCCCTGGTTCAGGCAGCCCATGGTTTAGGTTGAAGTCAGGAGAATTGAAGACTTCTGTAGTGCAAAACTTGGCCGACAGACTTGGCATTTAGTTGTTGTTCTGAAAGCAGCTGTTTGTCTTAGAAGGATTTTTGTGACTGCATGCCTTGGTTGACTGCTCCATCTTTCTGTCTAGGTGTCTAGGGGTACCTTAATGCTTCATGAGTGTATCTATGTTACCATATATTACTCTGCGTCCTAGTTGTGTGGTCATCTGTCTCAGATACACTATACTCCTTGAGAAGAGATCGTGTGTCATTGACACACCTTTGTGTAATGTACTGCCGGGAACATAGTAGGACTTCATTCATTAGAAGGAGTGAGTGAATACATAAATTGGCAGTCCTAACCTTTCCACCTTCCTACTCCCCCACTCAAGCCATAGTAAACTAACAGTTCTTTGGATACAATTCTCTCTCTCTTTTTTTTTTTTTTTTAAAGATTTATTTATTTGTACATACAGAACTGGGGTACAGGCCAGAGGCTCAGGGGCAGTGAGAGGCTTCACCAGAGACAGAGCGGGGAGCAGAACAGGCAGATCGACGAAGTACACTGCTGAGGGGAGCAGAGGGCGGGTCAGGAGAGGTCTGCCTCGCCATGTGGTCTCCTCCGGGGCAGGCGGGATTTGAACTCATGCGGAAGTGGCGTTAGCTTCTCAGTGCAGTGCTTTAACCCGCTGCGCCACCAGGGAGGGCCAAGGATACAATTCTCTTTTAACCTGGGACAGTGTTTGTTTTTATCCCCCTTCCATGTGCTTACATCCATTACCTCTTATTTGAAAATTGAACTGCAAATCTGAATCTTGTGTTGTGTACTTACAGTGACACACAGGTGAATATTTTGTTGAGTGGATTTCTGAATATTTTGTTTGTGATATCCCCAAATGAACAGATCCTTATTCGATATTTTGTACGTGCCAAACCTACTTGGGGACATGAGGATGAGCAGTGGACAAGGTGCTTGAGCTCCACTGGGAAACAAAGACCCAAAAAAATGGGAGGAATGCAGTTTCAGGTAGTACTGTAAGAGATTGCTGGTGTAAAGAGCATTTGAGTGCTTAGGGGAGGCCTCTCTGAACAGAGAGAAACGAAGACGGTGTGTGCTGTTCCCAAGGCACCTCAGCTGGTACTAAGGTGCTGGTTTGTGTTGAGGTTTCCACTGGAGTCCACCTCGGGTCACCCTTCGCTGCCATTCCATGAAAGGAACTAAACCAGGCTGATAGTGTAAGTAAAGAATTTTTGTTTGCACCAAATTGAAGGGTGGTAGAATCAACTCATCATTCATATGATGACTCTAGATCATTCTTTGTTAGGTCAAGTCTAATAAAAGGCTGTTATAAAAGCTCAGCATCTCACTGTTGATTTTTGAATGGAAAAGAAACACATTTTCATTAAAACTAAATCATGATAATTTAATGGGTTCCGCACCATTTATTATTTAGGATGATTGCTAATAGTGCAAATTGGAGGATGGATTAATTTTAAGGCTTGAAATGAATTGTTACCTAACGGTAATACTTTGGAAATAGATTGCAGAAAGAGAAAAATAAAATTGTTG